GCTTTGCAGATTGGGAAAAGGTTGGATGATTGATGACCTAAACCAGGTTTTTGAATCACATGTGCCAGAAACATTCTTCCAGATCGGGAGGAAATGAGATTGAGTGTCTGACTTCTGAATGTGCTGCACTGGACAATTTCAGAAATACCTGTGCCTCACTGAAATAGTAATAAAAGGTAATAAGTCTTAAACAACAAGCGCCTACTTTTCCCCCTCAGTGACACCTATGATCAATATGGTGCCCCCCTCCCCCATGATCCCCCCACAAAGCCCCATGATCGACAAGTAGAACAGAGGATTTTGGATAAATCTGTTAACAGTCAAGCATGCTGTGTATTCAGGTATCCTGGATTCTGTGGCTGGGATAACCCAATCCATGCTGGTGAATGCTGGAACCTTGTCAACTGTTTGCACAAAAGAACTTGTGATGGGACTTGGACTGATAATGAATTTGAAAGGAACTTTGTGAGTTTCCTTTTTAAACAGAATTGCAGCCTAGTTTGCTGTTGCATTTATCTATGTCTGGAACCTTTAATGTCTGGGAATTTAATACAGTGTGAGAGGCCAGGGGGGATCCAGGATTTTCCCAGGGGGGGGCATGATCCCGGATGAATACTGGTGTTTGTTTGCATGCAGCATCACCTCTGAAGCTGTGTTTCCATGGGGGGGGGGCGTTCTCTTCTGTGCACTCCTGGAAACTTACATTACCTTAACTCTCTTTTAATGTTTTCATGTGTGACAAAATCCATGCATTTCCAGTGGCAGAACGTTTATACAGTAGTAAAATGGTAATTCTGCATGCAAGGTTTGCCAAATTTGGCACAGGTGTTGATTTTCAAATTGTGTCTTTGCGTGCTAACGATACGTACATGTATGCATTAAGCTACCAAGCTGCTCTGGTGGTCCTGTTAATACACAACCTACCTCTACATTTTACAGGGCACTCGTGGAAATTACAGTTTCCATTAGATTAATTGGGCGTGATAAAACTATTGCAGCAGTGCAGAAAGTTTCCCCCCACAGCTTGTTATTAAGTTTAAAGTGAATGCAATGTAAAACTACAATTAAAGAGGGACATAAATACTCCATACATTCTGATTCTTGATTTTTGTAAATATTCTGTAGATTTACTACAACAGGAGAACACAGCTTGATACCCATTATCCAAGGTCCAAGTTTGACCACTGGCAAAAAAAACTGTCCCCCTTCAGTCTGAAGGTCAGGAAGTTCTGTGATGCATTGACCTTACTGGTCAACCTTCAGCCTTGGGGCAACATGGACAGGAGCGTAGCCAATTAGGCCTATAATTTGACAATTGGCATTGATTGGCCTGCTGGAGATTTTGTCTGAGGCATGGCCTCCTGGGCTGTAATAAGGCATTTGCGAGTTAAAATTAAATTTGTGTCTGAGTGTACTGCATTTTCAACTTTTGGTTTACTTTTTCAAACAGTATTTTGCCGCCTTTAGTGTTTTTGCGCCAGGGATATTTCCATATTCATGAGCAAAACTGTGATGTCATTCCAGCAAGAAAGATTGATGTGTAACGCATACATTAATTCATGCACAAAAAAGTGTTGCATCTCTGCAGATGTTACTGGACTAAATTTTCTCTTCTTTGCTGATTCCTGTTGGTTATGTGCATAGCAATAATCAACATCAATCCCTTTCTATGAAAAGCTTCAGTAAGTAAATTCTGGGTTCAAATTATGAACAGAAAACCTATGCACTGAACTTTGTCTTCCCTAGGTGACATCTCACCAACAGCACCCTCGGTTGTCTAGGAAAGCATGGATAATGTTTAAAGTTGTAAAAAGTGCATTGTTCAAAGTATTTATCAAATAGGCCTAGGCATGTAAAAGAGTTTTCACACGTTGTAGAAGAGTACAAAGTTGCAGAAAAATTGTGTCAAAGAAATATTCATTGCAGAGAGAGAAATACATGTGTAGGCAGTAAAGAATACACAAATTGTACGTCCAGGTTCACCTCTGCTTTAATGGGGCTTCCTCGCTAGTAAATGCCAGAGTGCCCACTGTTTTTGACAATGGTGATCTGCCACTTGTAAGTCATACATGAGGGCCCAAACTGTGCACATGTACACATACATACATTAGCTCAAACTGAGGTCTTCTCTAGTGAAAAGTGGAATTAACAGGAGGAGCAAAATATGCTCCATTTTGTTTAGTATAAGTCAGCAATCTACATGTACATGTACAAGCGCTCATTTGTTGAGATACATGTAAACTCTTGATATGGGCCTGTACTTGTTCAACTCCAAGAATTGGAGTACACGCAGTATAGTTTGCCAGATGTGTTGTCGTCTGGGGAAATTCTGTGGGTGGAGATTTGATTGTAACAGGGACTGTTTGAGGGAAATTGCGGTTTCCAACTTCCAGGTGGAGTGGCCATTACAAGGAAACCAATTTTACCATTTGTGAAGAAAGCTTCTTTTGTATTACACGTAGGCATTCTTCATTGTTTCCTATGCCCACATGTTATGAGTGCAGTGAATTTGATTTGCAGAATTTCATGTCCATCAAATGTGCTCATATATTGGAATTCATATTTGATTGGCTATAAAGTGTAAGAGCTACATGATTAAAAATATACATGTACGTGATTGTAACCATGAGTTGCATGTGGAATATTGTATGGATATTTAGCCCTGCGTGGTATTTATCTCTGCTGCATGTGTATGTTTCAGTTGACCCAAACTATTCTCTACATCCAAAAGAGTGAAACTAAGGACTAGACGCTTTAGAGTGAAAATTACTATTCATTTAATTTGTTCAAATAGGTTGAAAAAGAACCCTTTTCAGTGGAAATTGGAGTGATAGCTCAATCTCCATGTATTTGAGTGAAAAAAAATTCACTTTAATTCATCCCTATTTGGAGGGAGTGAATTTTCAATTGAACAGAGTGGATTTCCAATCTTTGGAATTGAGAGAGTAACACATGAATGTGTTGACTTACATGTACGTGTGTAAAGCCATTGACTTTATTTCCCCGCTTTTTTTCCTTTGGGTCAAAAAAGGTTATAAAACTCATGAGTTACTGGTATATATGGAACTGGAAGATAACAGTGATATGAAAAGAGACTGGGTAATAGTTTTGTAATAATTAACTCACATGATGTGCAAGAACATGGATTTTTTATTAATGGGGAATTGGGGGTTGACTTAAAATCTTTGTCAGAAACAGACTTTTATGAAAAATCATACGTTGCCCCTCATGGGCTCTAGTGAGGAAATGCCTTTCTTTCAGCATTTTGATTCACTTCAGTCCTGCAAAGAAATAAACAAAAAACCCTGGCATGGAACTGGTGCCAGTTTGGGGTCCGTTGGGGTTGTCATCATAGCTGGATAGTGCTGCACAGTCCCAATAACCTCTGCCCCAGGTCAGAATTAATGGAGTTCTGTACTTTTGACAGTTTCCAAGATGGAAATGTAATGACGCTGTGTGTAGCGGGGTTATGTACTGTACTTGAGAAAGTGGTCCCCATTGGGTCTAGTGACAGATGGCAAAGTATTGGATATTTTGTGTCCCTTTGCTGCATCCGATACACAAGCTAAAAAGACAAAATTAAGCTATCCTGATAGATCCTGTTTGTCACTTCTTATTTTCATGTGATTAGTGGCTTAATTTTCTATATACTTATTACGTGTACCTGTTTATCATACTGAATACTAACCTCAACAGTATGTGTAGCTACCTCCTACTTTATATGCCCTTTCAGGAAGCAGGTGAATTGATGGAATCCACAACATTCGTGTATTAAATTGAGGTTCAGATTAGATAATGGAGTTCACAGTTCCTTCTGGTTAAATTATTTCTGTGTGAAATCTGTTTTTAATGCCCTTGATCTATTTCAAAAATGGCACCATATTCTCCATCAACACTTGGTGGCCATAGTTTTAAAACTTCAGACTTTTCAAATCTAACACAAGGCACAAAACCCGTCAACCCTTTCCAAACACGCATTGGGTCAACAGATCTTGTGCACTGTGATTGGTCAATTCGTTTTAAGCTCTTGGAGGCACACTATTGTGAAATGCCCGTATTGAACAGTTACAATGAGCTTCATTGAAACCCGCATTTTACATTTTGACAGGCCCAAATTACGTACATTTGCCTGTCTCCTGAAAATCACTGTAAAGATGAACAAAGAAATTAACTGGAGTCGGATTCGAACCTGCGGCCTCCGTAATACTGTATCCTCTCTAAGTGATCCCTGTTCACAACTTCTCAGGTTTTATTGTGTTATTTGGTTGTGATCCTTGGCTACGTGGTGTTACAGGTTTAATGGCTTCTGGCTAGCACCCCCTGAACAAAGATATTGACAAATGGGAAGAGCCACCAACATAGGGCTGGGTAGTTCAGTTGGTAGAGCAGGTTCGAATCCCACTCCAGTTGATTTCCTTGTTCATCTTCATAATCATTTATAAGCACCTAGTCAGTGTCCCTATATAATTTTTTCCGTAAAGTCACATCAGAAAATATGTGTAGATCACTAAATCAGTCTTTGATGCTGAAGATATTTAAGTAAAATTCTTCCTTGCTGTTCCAAAATGTATTTACTTGGTGTTAGTTTAAACGTATAGGCATCTGGCGTTTGATACTTTTGAGAAATATGTTGCCCATAGTGTGTCATGTTCAAGGCTAGATCCAGAACCAACATTTTGGGAGGGCCTAAAAAATTTTTGTGGGGGGGGACAAATTTTTTTTATGTAACTCTTTATGGTGTTTGAGGGATAAGGCTACATTTTGGGATTAAAAAATTTGAAAGGAAGGAAAATTAAAAAGATATAGGAATAAAATGCCTGTTTTATTTTTGTACTGGTTGCTGCTTTATTGGGAAGGGTCATTGCCCCTACTATGGTCCACTCATGGTCTTATCAGAAGTTTGTGAGATCCTTTTGTGAAGAAGCAATCTTTGTAAATACAGTATCTTTCAATCTTGAACTGTTGGCAACGCTCAATCTCTGTGTTTTTTGCCTCTTCAGTGCATCCCTACAGCCAAACCCAGTATGCCGCCCTGAACCGACAGACATCCCAGCTGGTCTCTGCCCCCCACTATGTCCAGGGCTACCAGACCAGTAATAGTCCGAGATATCAGACCCATGCCATGCAAGGGTACCAGACCCGACCCTCCTACTCCACCAGTGGTGGCCGTTCCTGCAGCACGCTGGGCTGCCGGTACGGGTGCGGGTCCACAGCGACTGGCAGCACCAGCTGCACCTGCCCACCTGGGTACATGCTGGCGTCAGATAGGAGGAGTTGTAGAGGTAAATGAATTTTAAGTTTCTTTGGGGGAGAGGCTTGTTTTATCCTTAACTCTACGAAAGCTGGGTAATTTTGGTCATCTTACTGCTGGGTATTCTGCCCCCTGCAAGAACTTGGCAATCCTATGCCCAGTTTAAAAACACTTATCATGTCTGTAAAAGTACTCCTTATCATTACAAATTGGGAGTTTAAATTCAATCTGGTAAATGGTCTTATTGTTATGGTCAGTTGAAGTTGAATGTTTTCTCAAAAATGGCATCAAAATGACCGCAAAGAGGTTTATGTAAAACTCTTTCAAAGCTTGGTTTATGAAGAAAATGCTTTGTGGCATATCACCCCCCTCCCTGGCTCTTTTGGAGTTAAAAAACTATGGTGTAGGCTTTTTTGGGACCATTTCACAATGGTGGGGAGGTGGCATCTGTCTCAATCCCTGTCATTTAGACACTTGGCATGCACGTGAAGACACTCATTGTGAGGACACCTGTTAAGTTTCAGTTTGATCCAACATAGATTTGTGTTGCGACAGTCATTTGTAGTGTTAAGTGCTCAAAGGGTAAAGTAAACAGTTTTGTCTGACCGTCTTGGAAGAATAAACATTTCGTTAAAATGGTGCATGCCCTCCTAATTATCACAAACGTCTTGACAAAATTGTTGCAAGATTTGACAGGAAACTCCTCAAGGCTCATTGTGGGAAAACTTATACCACATTAATATTGGACAAAATTTCCAAAGGAGTAGGTTCTACCCACTCCCTTTCATGTTGGCTGCTCTCGAGACACAGTATCATGAAATAATATGGTGCGGTGGACTGTGGCATGTTTAAGATGCACTAAAATGATATCTGTTGAGGGGCAGGTCCTTCCCATCTTGCCCCCTTTTTTGAGTTAAAGTGGTGTCATGAACTCTGTCACAAGTCCATGAGAGGATATCCAGTCCTTAATCAATTGACAACTAACTCTCATGCATTGAGTGTGCAACTCAAGCACTGTAGAATATTTTCACTCACTTAACACCCAGAAGGATAACTGTCATTTGAAAAAAAAAATTACTGCTAAACAATAATGAAAGACGCAACTTTTTCAACCTTTCTGTGTTATGTCTTTACTGAGCATTGGGAATCTCCCTTAGTCCATTGGGTGAATTCTGGTCAACGAACTAGATTTGCAGTTACACATATCACAGTGGTGTTGCACCTGTGGCTTCTTTGTTGGTGCATCATATTTAAGAGCCAACTGGCAGCAGAATAATTTTGAAATTATTTTGACCACCAAGCATCAGTAATTAATAACCCTGCCCTCCCGATGTTTTCTGGATAAGAGTGGGAGGCATGCCCCTAACAGTTGAAAAACGTTGAATCCTCTGGCCACAGGGCACCAACATCTCCAGTTTCAAAGCAATTTGCCTTTAATTTGGTCCCCCTCACCACTGATCATTTTCAATCTGCATTTCTTGGCAACACCCATGCATTTGTTTCCAAAACGTGCTGCATTTATCTGAGTTCACACTTTAAAAGTTTAATTGATTTTATAACTGGGGTTTTGAGGCTGTACAGCATTAGGGTGTGAAGACCAACTTTGGATGAAACACAAATAATGTGAATATTGCATACTTCACATTGATTTCTTGAGTTTGCTAAACCGATGAAGCTTCTGAGCATAGAAATCTGCCGGCTTATAATTATTTGGAAGCACTTACTAATTAGTTGCCTGCTGTCTTTCATTATTTCAGATGTGGATGAATGTTCAAGATATTCCGGGCTGTGCCAGCAGAACTGCAGAAACACTCTAGGCGGATACCAGTGTTCTTGCACCACAGGGCATCTAATGAACAACAGGAGAACGTGCTCAGACAGCAGAGGTAAGGCCCTGCCTGAAAGGTTTGGCTGCGGCTCATAGTACCACGTAAATCTATGGGAGGTGGCTATAGCCGCTAACCCACGGCTTGCACAGGCACCAGTGCCATTCTTAGCCATAGCCAGTTCACTAAAATGAGGGTCAAGGATTGTAGTATGATGGCTTTCAAGTGACACACATTATCAAGAATTTGAATCTCAAGAATAAAATGTTAAAAGAGCTTAAAGACTTTATAGCTGTAAGCTCCATCCTGGCAATGAAAATTCTATCGGTGGGAGTGTTGATTCATGATCAGATGATGAGGGGTTCGAAAACAACTTGTGGCCATACATTGTGGTTTGGGGTGGGTCACTTCATCCCTTCATTGCCTGACTACACCTAGGGGTATGGGCACTGGTATTTAGCTGGGGAGTAACCCATGATAGACTGGCATTCCATCCAGGAGAATGAAAGTATTCTTAGTCACTTTATGCCTTGTTTTTGAATTAGTGATAAACACTGGCCTGACAGGCCGCATGGATTTGGGGCCAAACTTTGCTCTGGGGGCCGTCCTCGGATAGCGAATTGCTTTGGTGCATGTGAGTTTGTTTCTGCATTCAATNTATGGGTGGTCTTCTAAAAACGTTAAAGTACAAACAAAAGAGGAACAATAGGGGGTCCCCAGTTGCAGGCAAATACACACTGTGTGGGTGTGTGTGTGACATACACATGTATTTGAGGATGCTGATCCTCATAAAATTAGCAAAACAATCTTAAAGGGTTGTGCACTCTTTGTGTACTGATTTAGACTGTGCATACTAATTGGGGTCTTCTTGTTGCAGGTTGCACCACCTGTAGGGGTGGCATGCCTGCCCCGGGGCCTGTCACCCTCCCTGGCAGCGGTTCCTGCCCTGCTGGCTTCCAGCCACAGAGAACGTCACAAGGCATACGCTGTGTGGGTAAGTGTAATACCATCTCTACCCTTTTGTGATCTACTTTATACATTTCTCTATCCTTCCAGGATCCACTTTAGGCTGGAGGCACAGGTACTCCACCCATTGTTGACCATATTTTGCTCCACGTGTAACAATCATCAATTTAATAGAGTTTGGTCACAAATTTGGCCTCACAATTCATTTTGAGGCTTATCTGTGCAAAGAATGTAATAGCTAGTTTATAAAGCTTTGCCAAAATCAAAAACTGGAAAAAGACTCCAAAATTTTTCTTCTATGTTTGCATACATTTAGGTGAGTGTGCTTATGGCACACCATGGAATTTTTAAGGATGGCCCAACACTTTCTGTTGACCCCCATTTATTGTCTGTTGGATGATTAGGCCCTGCATACACTGCAAATTCCAAACTTTTCTTTGAAAAAAAACCAAAAGCACAGAGCCCAACACAGTGTCAGTGAGGCTTTGCAATGGAAGGGAATGGATGGAGATAGTACCAACAAGGTACTGTGATTTGTGTCACCAAATGTCAAACAGCATGCCCCCGATATCCCGGTTTCTCATGATATCGGCTGAAAAATTTCCAGACTTTTTCCAGAACAATTTTCAGGCAGTGCCTTTATGTAAGCAGCTCACTGATGTTCAACACAGACATTGGTTTGATTGATTTGTGTCACGAAACGTCAAACAGCATGCCCTCGATATCCCGGTTTCTCGTGATATTGGCTGAAAAATTTCCAGACTTTTTTCAGTATAATTTTCAGGCAGTGCCTTTATGTAAGCACCTCACTGATATTAGACACAGACATTGGACCTTATCTAATCGAATGTAACAGGAACAGAATGTGATGGATGAATCAAGTGGGTTGGTGGGAAGAGAGCAAAGTGGGACGTGCTGTAAACAATCTGAGTTGGTCCTCGCCCCATTCCAACAGAACAGTCTAATAAATCATCCAGAATCTGTTTCATCACAGCCACAAGGAGCGAAGGGGGGAAAGAGGGTATCCACCCAGTCCCTGGAGCAGTGAACGTGACCCCCAACTTTCTGGTCCCTCCCTCGGCCAAAATCAAATAACAAAAGGAGGGAAAAATGTTGATGATCGTGACTGAGACCACGTACAGCATGTCCGTGGACCATGTGCCAAGAATGAAGCTGGTGCTCTTACTGAATGTGATTTCCTGAGAGGAGGAAGCCATTCATTGTGGCTGATTAGCACCAGTGCCATTGTTGCATTTCATATTAAGCCCGGATCACTGTGGTGTTACATGCATGCCATAGCCAGTTCAGTGTCTGACCTTCTCGCTGATAACAGGGAAAAGTCATACAAGTTCAACTTTGTCCGGAACTGCAATTTGCATGCCGTTTCCCTAACAGGGAAATATTGAAATTATTGTCACATGTATTCACAGAACATGTATAGCACATTGAAGGTTACCTCTGTGTATTGCAAGTGCATTGTGGGTAAGAGCTATGTTTTGTACATACATGTAATGGGTTAACCAGTTTTTTCTAACTGCGGATGTATGGATTGCATTGCCAGTGTACGTGGGTCGTTTGCCAATACTCGACTTTGTCTCCGCCTCAAGCTTCGTCTTTGAAGCCAATCCCCGATTGTGGGCCTGAACCATTTAAATTAGATTGGAGTACTGTAATGTTTGGCTCTTTTGCATCTTACTTGATGTTTTGTGGCACTATCAGACTTACTATCGTGCTTACAACTTCAAAGTCAGGTAGTAAAAAAATGGTTTCAGCCTGAAACGGAGCCCAAGTCGAGTAAATACGGCTGTGAACATGTACGTGTACTTCTGTTCAAGGGAGCTTGTCCGAAATGTCATACTACACTTTCAACTCTGTTTGCACATTCTGGACAAACCTTTAAGCTACAGGTACACGCATGTGCTTTGGTCTGGAATATACTGTATATCCTATTGGTCACCAATAATATTCTGTGACTGTACATTTTGTGACCAGCCAGTCCTGATGGGTCAGCCTGATAAAATTTTAATTGGTTACATTTCCCAGACCCTGTCCCCATTGCTCGCTTTATCCACGTGAACCCCTCCCCCCAGCATGGGCGGGGAAGGAAGTTGTGTCAGCCCCCTTCCAAGCCCAAGATTATCTTGTCCCCATGTGTCACCCTATGAATCACAGCACCACTGGGGGAAAAACCCCTTCACCAGCAAACAAGTCTGCTTTCCCAAAGGTTGGGCTCATTCATAAAGCATTGGGCTGCTTGATTCTAGCCCTGGGGTCACGTCTGCCCCACTCATTCATAAACACAGGTCCTGATATTAGATGGTGTTGGATTTTGACCCCGGGCAAGTTGTGTCTGTCAAACCTTATTCATGAAATAATAAGAAAGGATTTTATTTTAGACACACAAGCAATTTTAGCTGCAGGTTGACTTCTTTCCTGTAAAAATTCACCCTCCGGGAAAGCTATCTGCTGCAGTGTTTTGAAATTACCAGAGGCAATTGTCTACAGTCATTCCAAATGCAGACTGAGGTATTTGGACATGAAATTCTCTGAATGTTTACATGTTTAATTTGTCTGAGTTTGATTTGCCTGAACCTTTTGAGCCAGTTTCAGAGTAAAAAGGCTTCATCATTCATGTAAAAAATTATTTCAAATGAATACACATTATTTTGGACACCGATCAGGGTTTGCCCTTAACTTTTTTCTCACTTGCCAGCCAGACCAGCAGTGATGGCTTTTTACTAGTCCACCAGCATTTTCACAAGTTGGCGTCTTCCTCCAAATTTCAACATTCTTTTTTGTCAGTGGCGTTTTCTGCTCCAGCATCATGCATAACACTGTGCACTTGGTGCGGAGTGTCGTTTAATTGTTGATGAGTAATCATAAAATAAATGGCTATAGGATGAATTTCCAGTATATTCATGATTATAACTCTACTCAAGCAAATTAAACACACAGACAAAAGGGTTACCTGCTGAAAATTGTTTGTTTTATTCACAATCCAAGGCCATTTTCCTGTACTCAATTTCGGCTCCGTCTCAGGCTTCAACTGTTTTTTTTACTAGCTGACTTGGAAGCTGTAAGCGCAGTAATCAGTCTAATAGTGCCACAGAACATCAAATAAGATGCAAGAAAGCCAAAGTTGCAGTAATCCTATGTAATTTAAACACTTCAGGCCCACAATCGAGGATTGGTTTTGGGAACGAAACCTGAGACGGAGACGAAGTTGAGTATTGAAAAATGGCCCAAGAGACAGAAAAAAATTCCATATCATTATGAACAATTTATGTACATGTACAGTACATGTACGTTCTATGCAGTATATACATGTGCGCCCGGCGAAATGTACATACAATATACATACATGTATTGCACATGTTTGTTCTCGACCATGTCCAGTACCTGTAGCGCGTGAACCAAACACGAAATTACAACTGCGACATCATTGGTGTAACAACTACCAATGACCAATCAGAAAAACCAGTATTGCATATTCATAGCACACGTAATGCATACACACACCATACACACACGGTATGTCATACGTGTGGGATGCATATTCATGAACTTACATGTACCTCTGCGATGCAATGCATGAAAGCCTGTGCTTGTATGCAGAACCAACATCAAGTCACAGCGTTGTTGAGGCCAGCCATATGGCGGTTGTACAGTAAACGACCGACAGTTTGTGATCATGCCGCATGGGCGTTGCGGAAAAGAAGTTTCAGACGATTTACTGCTGCTGCATTCATAGACTTCAGCATTACTTCTGCTGGACTGGTGTGAGGGACCAAATTAGTCTGGGTTTCAAAAGGTTTTATTTATTTGGTTCAAAAACCAGCAGCAGCTGGAGGGCATGCATCGCAATCAACTATTTTGCCACTTATTTCAGGATATTGTTTTACTAGACCGCCGGACTACCCAGACGAGGGCTTTCGCTAGACCACCACGGTTTTTACTTGAATTTGGCTAGTGGACCAGTGTTAAGGTCAAACCTTGCCGGTTCTTTTGATTGTAGGCCTACATATGTGGTGAGGATTTTAATGGAGTAAATTTTTATTTAATGTGGGCATTTCACAATAGTACACCTCCAAGAATTTGCATCCCGTTGACCAATCACAGTGTGCGAAATCTGTCGACCCAATGTGCAACAGATTTTGCATCTTTTGATTGGTTAAAGTGTTGCAAACTTATTGGAGGCACACTATTGGGAATCACTGGTATTGGAGATCATTTTTTTTATATGAATAGGGCTCAGTTACTACATGTAGGCCTACATGTACATGTGCATGTACTCTTCATAAAATTGAGTTAACTGATTATCCTTGGTTGATTTGTTGGGATTAAACCAAACAAGAAACAGGGCTCCTGCTCATGAAATGGGAAAATGAATGCGACATGCTTTGTAAATCTTAGAGTTAAAATCTCTCTTTACTATTTACTTGAAAATTAAGAGGTCGCACTATTTATAAAAATCTACATGGCAAGCTCATGGGAGGTTTACTTTCCTGATAATGGACAGAACACCTTTTCATAGTGTTGACTTTATGTTTAGCCTGTTTCTCCTACGTTTTTCCTTATAACAAGTAAACATACATGTAGCACACTTTTTGATAACAAAAGTTCACGTACATGTACTCCAAGTTTTAACTTACTAAGATTGTGTGAATCAACAGCTCACCTGTTTGTTACAAGGAACTGATTTGTTGTAGAAACTAAAAAAAAAATGGAGGGAGGATTTTCTGGAGGGTTGGAGGTTTTCTTTTTTGCTATCCGTGCCTCCCCCAAATAATATGACTTGATAATTTCTGAGAGGAGTCTGGTTCCCTGTGCTAAAAATCTCCAATGTCTGTTTTTGGTGCTGCAAGTTAAGCATGGAGTAAGGAATAACCACAGTGGAATATTTATGTCACAGTCCTAGGATGCACTGGCTTGTGTCAGATGTTTTTAAAAAGTAAACATCAATTGTTGGCAAGAAGCTATCAAATACATGAAGAAAAATATGCTACAGGTAAAGTGCAAAAAAGGGCA